CTGAGTAAGTGGCGCAAATATGAGTCTCTGAGAGATTACATATTTGTGCCACTTGCTGTAGAGACTATCGGTCCGTGGAGTCCACGTTCGGTGAAATCCTTAAAGGAACTCCTTCCGCGGCTGGTCGTTGCTGCTGGTAATAAGAGGGCTGGTTCTATTCTCGCTCAAAGGCTAAGTAAAGTTATTCAGCGAGGAAACGCAGCCAGCGTTCTTCGCACGATACCGCGGGAGTAGGAGTATGGATAAACATCCTCAATTGTCCTCGGAGTCGGAGGATAAGTCTGCGTTCGGACAGCGAGATTCTGCCGTATGTAGAAGCCGACTCTGCCACTTCGCGAGGGCACATTTGTCGGTCGGGGAATATGCTGTAATTGGTATCCTGGTACGGTGAGTGCGCGCGCTTCCTCACCCTCACACAACCAGGTTTCGTTAATCATAATTATATCGATAGCGTGGCGATCTATAGTTACTACAAGTTCTTCATGGCCTGTTCCTACGGAACCTACATTGAGAAGCCCAAAGTTAAGATTACTTATCGTGTTGTATGAGATAAAGAAATATTCACAATTGACATCCTTGACCAATAAATCTCATAGAGAAATAACAAACTATAATTTATACCACACTAAGCTTGTTTCGTTACTCTACTTGTGTTGTTGTAGTTTTGTAATATCATAAAAATTTTAACTGAATTTAGCAAATAAATATAATGGGGTAGAATCTAGAGGATATAAACATTTCCTTACATTTAAATAACTCAAGCCTAAATACGTATGAAATACTAATTGGAAGTTTATAAAGGAAGTTACATAAACATATAAATGTATCGGCCCTGTAGAAATTGTCCTACTACATCCATAATTACAACTACGTCAAGCTTTATAAAGTCTGAATATTGTACAAAAACATTTACTTTGTTTAGCAGACAGTTAAGAACAAAGAATACACTAATAAAATTTATTCTATTTGCTACGAGTATAGTCTCTTAATCTAATAAAAGACTATAGCAAATAAACTATATTATGGGTTGCAAATATTTTATAACTGTAAATAGAATTACAAATAGCTTATTACGGTAATTTGGCCTAACTACATATATATTTTATTAAATCGGATTTCATATTATTTTGAAGTTGTAAATAAATCTTTTTAATAGCTTTGGAAATATACGAATACCTCGTGGGTACTCGTCCATAACACACATGACGATTAGTAAATAGTAACAAAATTATACAAATTATTTTTTGTGAGTAAACTGAAAGTTATGGTGACCGAAGATATTCGGAACCAAAATCCTTAGCAATATTCGCGTTGAAACAATGCGATCTATTGGAGCTCCTGCTTCCCGACGTGTAACAATTCGGCCTCCCGTCGTGCATACATATCGCTATGCGAAACAACTGCTTATTTGTTTTGGTCAGTCGTTCGTTTATATAGATTTTGCAGGTAGAAAACCGTAGAAAACCGAAAAATCACAGTTTTGTAGAAAACCGATAGGCTGCCTAATTTACGCTTATGTTTGATGCTGGTAAGATTTGCTTTAATTGGGTACAAATCTGCTTGGTGGCTTTTTGCAGCACCACCCCATATATGGCAGCAATACTCCATGCACGACTGGACTTGCACTTTATATTGTGTAAGCAACTGTTCCGGCGTAAAGTACCGCCGCACCTTTGCAAGGACTCCTAACGTTCTTGCAGCTGCTTTTGCCTTGGACTCCCGCCCGAAGTTCATCATTACAACCCTTCACAAGTCCACTGCTGAACATAGCCGTTCCCCAAGGAATACCATTAAGCACAGTCCTGAACCACCTGCATCTATCGATTTCCTGCATGTCTTATCAGGTGTTCCCACCATTTAGTAGGGGAACGCCCTACACTTCGTCCGCCAGTACGAGGCCACCACTCGAGAACCTAGTTTTTTCCCCATCGGTTGTTGGCTGGCTCATTGTCACTTCAGCTAACTAATCTGTTGGGCTATGTCGATCACTCTGGTTTTACTGGGGATATCCTCATTTCTAAGTTTACCACGCAGAGAAACCCAGAGCATAACCCTCTCCATAGATCGCTGAGCGACCTTGAGCTTCCTCATATGGCCAGCAGTGAAGGAACACGTCTCATTTCCATAGGTCATCACTGGCAACACGCACTGGTTGTACAGTCTCGTTTTCAAGTTTTGAGGTATACCTGATGAGAAGATGTGCCGTAATTTCCCGAACACTGCCCAGCCAAATTGAATGCATCGATTACTTCGAGCTTAGTGCTCCCAACAACTACCGGCATAGGTGTGACATGGACGTTATACCCAGAAGTTTAGGTTTGAGGAAATCTCAAACCCCAACAACTGAAGGCAGTCGATGTATTCCAGTGATACATTTCGGAAAGAAGGAGCCAATGTGAGCTGGCTACTCTTTGCAGTGAAGAGATACGCTTTTGTTTTGAAGACGTTTAATTTCACAAGATTGGCATCGCCCCATTTGGAGACTGCCTGTAGTGGGAGATTCAGACGCTGAACTATAGCTTCTCTTTTGGGCTAGATTTACTTTTGGTTGGTACTGTCGTCTGCATACCCATAGATACTGGGTATAAGCAGATTATTAATATTCGGCCCCTGAGGAACTCCGGCGTTAGTCGCCATAGGATCAGATGAGCAGTCATCGGCGATGAGTCAGAGATACCGTTAATTCAGAAATTCCTTAACCTGGCCTGTCAGACCAGAGGATAAGCCGTACGCTGGAAGCTTACCCAAATAGCTAACGTACCAAACTCTGTCAAAGGCAGTTGAGACATCATGGGAAACAGCAAGTGCTTCCATGCACTATTCTCAAGTGCCCCACTCCATATGTGCGTGACCAAATGACCGATTTTGGTCAAACCCGTACTGGCGGTCACTGCGGAAGTAATTCTGTTCTAGGTATTCCCTGAGGTGGACGTTCAATATACGCTCCATAATCTTGCAGAGTATGGACGTAATTGAGGTTGGTAAACAATTGGCAGGGTCGGCACGGCTGCCCTTTTTCGAAAAGGCTGCCAGTTGGCTAACTTCCAGGATTTTGGCACTATTTCAGTCCTAAATGAGAGGCAGAAAAGCGTGTCAGCACCGGTGACAACTCAGGTGCGCAAGCCTTTAGAACTATGGCTGGTATACTAGCTCCATTCACGTCTAGAATCAGCAAGGTTTTAAGAACCTCCTTTATTGTGATACGAACATTCGACAGAGGTTCTGCAGTGAGGTAATTCAGGTGGAACTTTTTGCCACTGCCCAGACGTGAATTGCAGGTAAAGATCGACGTGAAAAATCCGCTTTCTCTCTAACCATATGCGCTTGTGTGCCATCCGGTTTTACCAGTGGAGGCAGTCTAGGCCGACAGATGTTTGTCTCGACCGCTTCGGCAAGAGTCCAACAAGCTCTAGTGCCAGATGACCTGTCAGAGAGTTTTGCGCCAATATGTTTAATGCGGTCGAGACTGGCTTTCGATAACGCTTTTATTAACAGTACTAGCTGTTCCCCGCGACTTCGTTCGCGTGTTAGGGTTTTAATGTTTCTGCGCGGAACCCTGATTCTTTTTCTAAAATAAAAGTAGCCTATGTTACTCCTTATGAAATCAGCTATCTGCCAGTGAAAGTCCCGTCAAAATCGGTCCAGCCGTTTCGGAGATTACTCGGAACAAACAGACAGACAGACAGACAGACAGACAGACAGACAAAAATTTTAAAAATTGTATTTTAGTTATAGGTATCGTATTTACTTTCATATGCATTTAGTAAAAAACTGTAATTTTGACATTACAAACAGACACTTCAATTTTATTTATTTGTATAGATATAGATTATTTGGCGGCCTGGTGTAAATATCTCTTCTTGGAACTATGGTGTCTCGAGCGTCAACTCAGGATAGATACGCTAAATGCTTCCGCTTTTCAGCTTTGGTGCATTCAGCGTTAAACCACAGGCGAGAAATAAAATATTTCATCGATTAACGCAACACATATTTTATTGTATCCGCGCAGCTTGACGGATACGCAGAAGAGAAACAGACGTCCCACCAATGATAGGATGCAATAAAGTCTCATATCTCCTCCCAATCAGTTGACTTCTACCGCCTTATTTGTCGTACACCTTGTGACTGACAATCAAAATAATTATAACATCTAATTATTGTGCCACTTACCGTATTACCGAATCCACAGTTACAAATGACTATGCAGTTATGATATCACTATTCATAGAAAAGCCTCAAGCATTGAGTAAACCACCTACAAAATTTAATTACACAACGATCTACTCAAAATAGACTTCATCAATTTATAAGAAACTGATCCTAATATATGCACTTAATATTACTTCGTTGAAATTCTTTAAAATACTTTAAAATAAAGATAATGATATACAATACTGACTTTCGCAACGGCAAATCTACGGCAATCAAGCCGTTCACGATTTTTGTTATTGTTATGTATCTCCACATTTTTTGCTCAAGTAAGTTGGAAAATTAAAAATGTTGTGCAACCGACTGCAGTATAAATTATTACGGATAACTCAAAATTTATTGATCATATCATGATCAGATTCATATGGGACCACATGTAAAGCACCAGCTTTCAGATAAAAAGAAACAATCATCGGAATCGGTTCCTTCAAAAAAAATTATGAGGTAACACACATAAAAAAAGAACGTACAGTCGAATTGAGTACCGTCTCCTTTTTGAAGTCGGTAGAAAATGACCACGCAAGTTACTCGACAGCCAATCAATCAGAAGCAGTATGTAATTAAAATATACAGAATTGATCTAATTTTCTGTTGTGGAGTTGTCCTGTAGATTTGTCGTCAAGGATTCACCAGATCTGTCATTTTGATTATGAGGGTGGGTAATTAAAACGCAATGTACTATAATTACAACTCATTCGCATCAACATAAATAGCGGTTGTTTATTGTACATGCACACATATCTTCATGTATTTAGTAGTGTGATAGTGCGTTGGCGAATTGAGATAGAAACATGTGGTGTTTGATAGCTATTTATATTTTAACCTGGGAAATGTCTATGTCCTCAAGTGAGTTTTGGCGTATTCGATCAAAACCAAACGCGTGGCAAAATCTCACACATAATATATAGTATATATGTATTACTTGTGTTGTGTTTTTTATCGTTGCTGTAAATTTTATAACGCTCTTGACTGGCTTTTATTTATGGTTCATGCACTTTAGGATACCATCCAATTTAAGGATATTTGTATTTCTCAGTGGTTATATTGTTTTTCCTTTTTTTTAAATCCATCGAATGTGGTTTTTGGTTCTGTGTATCAATAAATACCATGCAAAAATCGTCATCCGCGTTAAAAACTGTTATGCTTCTTTATAGGTTTGAGACTCTGTATTATGTGTCTATATAATATGTCGTATGTTTAATACGCTACTTAATCGTGGTATACATTTCATTTTTAATTTAATACTAGCTGACCAGGCAGACGTTTCATTTCCGACGACCATTTGCTTTCCTAAAAAAAACTCCTGAGATTAGCAATAAAAAACTTGAGGGTCACTTATCGGAATAAAAACTATCCTATCTCTCAAGTTGGATCAAACTGCACACAGTGTGCAAAATTTAATTGAAATCAGTTCAGTAGTTTAGGAGTTCATCGCGGATAAACAATGTGACACGTAATTTTTATATATAAAGATAATGTTTCATTTCAAACAATACAATAAAAAAGTTAAGATAAACTATGACATGATCCTCAAAATTTAAGCTAAGGATCCTTAATAAAAAAACCGGCCATGTGTGGATCGAACTCGCACATGAAGGGTTCCATACCATCGTAATAAACGTTTCTAGTAGGGGAGCCCCTTACAATTTTTAATTAATTTTTATTTTTATTATTATTTACGACAACAGAAATATATATTTTGTAAAAATTTCAACTGTCTACGGATCTTCAACCTATTACGGATCATGAGATATAGCCAGCTGATAGACGGACGGACGGACGGACGGACAGCGGAGGCTTAGTAATAGGGTCCCGTTGGTTATCCTTTGGGTACGGAACCCTAAAAAAGAAAGTAACCTCGGATCCAGTCTCTCTTAAATTCTCTCACATTGCATTAATATTTTTTTTTTATTTCACATATTAAAAAATATTAATGCGATTTTTAAGTTGATTTTCGGAACAATTTGTCAACAACACTTCAATATTAGTAATTTAATTTTTACAGAAATAAATTTTAATACTCTAATGTTGGTTTGTGATGTTAACTCGTCTTGTTCTCCACCTGTCTTTAATTGCATAAACCTTGAGATATTAAGGACATAATTTGTACTGGATCAACGGATACTCACCCATCTGCTCTCACACTATCCCCATACTGCTTCACTACTTTAATATTAAGAGAAAGCTTGGCTCAATAGTAGAATTTCTGTTATAAAAATTTTCTTTTTTGTTTTATTTTAGGAATAATACTATCAGAAAAAGTTTCAGTAATGGACGAAATTGCTCAAGACAGTGAAACAAATGAGGAAGCGAATGGAAGAATAGTCGGTGGGCGCAACGCTACGTGTGAGGAGTTCCCTCACCAAGTCAGCTTCATTGTGAACAACTCTTATTTCTGCGGTGGAATTATCCTTAGTGAGGGATTCGTAATGACAGCTGCACACTGCGCAGAAAAGTATGTAATTAATAATAGATAGAGATAAACAGATATTTGGGGTTCAAAATTCATAAACTAAATAACGCAATCGTAGAACAAAGAATTTTCTTCGATTCTAATGAAATCTCTCTGATAGATTTATTTCATCATGCGAGTGTCGTACGAAGCGACTAACTGAAATCGCTTGAGAGTTGTCATGTCGTTTGAAAGTTCCAAATAGCATCGATAAATAACAGCATTATAATGTATCGTCGTACTGGTAACAAAGTAATTCATCTTGGTCCTGAGGAGTGACAACTTATCTGAATTTTGTTGCTTAATCGAAAAGAGATGTAATCGTCTATGGGTTGTATCACTAACTATTAGTTGAACACTGAGATCATTTGTCACCCTATAAAAATCACGCTGGTATTTTGTGAGAGTGTAGTTCTTCTTAGATCGAGCCGACCCATTGACGCTACAGCCGGGGGTTGCGGGTTGCGGGAAGCGGGGAAGCGGGGATTTTCCGCATGCTATGAAATTTAATGCTCACAACAACCTCTAAGTATTAAATTCTGTAGATTGTCAGTAAAGACAACCTTTCGAACACAAATATTTTTAATATTATATAATACCGATTTAATTCTTAATCTATAGATTTAATAAGACTTCGAAATACCCATAAATGTTTCAGCGTTGATCCAACCACTGTAGTGCTTAGGTCAGGCAGCACTTTCCGTACAAATGGTACCATCATACCAATTATCGAGGTAACTCCTCATCCGGACTACGACAACCCACCATATGATAAAGACGTGGCCATCATGAAGACAGCAAATCCAATCAAGTTCAATTCCTGCACACAACCTATAAAGTTACCACCTAAAGGACTAACTGCGGAGTACGGAACAGTTATGACCGTAAGCGGATGGGGACGCACTCAGGTATTATTATTTTTAAATATTGCAAGTTCATAATTCGAACTACGTTTCGCAAACAAACAGGTGGAAGTACGAATTTATTCCACATGTTAGTTTGTATGGAACTATGAAAATAATTGAATATAATAGCTCATTATAAAAATTTGAAAACTACACATTGAATAAAAATAATATTACGAATTTTATCTTCTTCTTCATCATCATAAGCCCATCAAGGCTTGATATAAACATGGGCCTCTCCTGTTGTAACCAATGTCCACCTACAACATGAGTGGTTTAGCACTAAAAATTGTGGTATGACAAAGAAAAAAGGAGAAGTATCAATACTACACTAATTATTAAAATTCCTTACTTTGTGTAACGATGGTCTAATAAGATTTTTTTATAGAAGAGGGGGCAAACGAGCATGCGGTTCACCTGATAGTAAGTGACTACCGCCCTTTACCCTTGAACAACCGCAATACCAGGGGAATTGCAGGTGCAGTGCCGACCTTTTAGAAAAGTATAAGCTGTTTTCTAGATAGCAATAAGCAATGGATTCAGATTTGCCTTCAGAAGAAAACGGTGATGAACTGTAATGATTATGTTTTACTTGGTAGAACAACACTGTGGTTATATTATGGTTGCAGCACTAATAATCGGGTCAGCTGAACCACTGAAGAACTACGCCCTTACAGAATACCAGCGTAAAATAGCGACTTAATGCTGATGTGTTCCATTTTCTATCTTTGTCCTCAAGAGTGACAATGAACCTACATTTTGATTCTTTATCGAGAATAAATGTAGGTATGTATAGGCCATAGCATCCACTTACTATCAGATGGACCATATCCTCGTTACCACCCTCAGTGTATAACATAAGTATGTTATTAAAATAATCACCATCAAGATCATTACAGCATATCTTAAACCTTTAGCAGTCAGTAGGGAGAGCCAAACGATATGTACAAAACATGGGACTAAACTATCTACATTCATCGACTCTATGCCTTAGTAGATCATCGATATTGTTTCATCAGGTTACGCTGCATATATCAAGGGGGAGGGGAGTACTATTGAAAATCTTTCTTTCCCGTTGATGGCAGCTCTTCTAGCTATATAACTGGCCCATTGTCACTTCAGCCTACTGATTCATTTGGCTACACTATTCAAATAACATTACTTACAAAATATTTTATTTCCCAGCAAGGTGCTTCTACGATTCCCGAACGACTAATGGCAGTCAATCTAACGGTGGTGAATCATATGCTGTGTCAAATGGCATATTTTTCGATAAACATCACCGAAAATATGCTGTGCGCTGGTAATTTCTTCTTTGGCGGAAAGAGCACGTGTCAGGTAAAATATATTTGTAGAAAGTAGGGTCGTGGTAGCTCAAGCGCTTAGTGCTCGTAGTAAATATCATGGTACGGCAGTAACCCGGGTTCGATCCCCGCCGGCATAATGAAATTGTTAACACCAGTTTAAAGTGCAGATCTACTACGTACTCAGCCGTGAAGTAAAACGTCGTAAAAGACCCTGCACAGCAGAGAAATTAAAAAAAAATCGAAAACATGGGAAGTTAGCCAACACGAACTGGGGCAGCACGGCGGATATTTCCTTGCCCCAAAAACCCTCAGAAATTAGAGGAAGCCTGTGCTCAGGAGTGGAACATACGGCTTGCTAGTTATAGGATATATAATAATTTTACCAATATTTAGGGTGATATACGAGCACATAGTTCACCTAATATTAAGTGGATGCTATGGTGCCAGAACACCTACATCTATCCTCAATTAAGAAACAATATGCAGATACGTTTTCACCCTTGAGGACTAAAATACAATACCTAGTTACAAGCGAAAAGGGTCTCCAGTTTTCATCACTCAGCCACCATAGCAAAACCGCATTATGATGTTATTTCACCCTTATACTCTATGCGAGCGTGCTACCCCAGTTAAGCCAACAAATTTGGGCTTCAAACATGATACCCTGCAGGTTCGCTATAACACATTTAATTTTAATAATCAGTTGTTAACAAATTGCAGAAAGAAATAATTAAATCATTTCTGTTTTAAGTAGTTTATCAAAATATTTCGAGAATGTGTAAACTCTTCCCCAAAGTCCCTCTTTTTACAAGACGCCTATGCTTAACAATGAGATAACTTCACTTTTTAATTTTTTTACCCTTTTAGGGTGATTCCGGGGGAGTTGGTGCAATCGACGGTGTAGCCAGAGGAATTGTGTCCTTCGGACGTGGTTGTGGGCAGCCGTTATCACCGAGTGTGTTCACCGACATTTCAGCTCCGGATATGAGAGACTTTATTACTAAGCTCACGGGACTATAGTTCTTACTTTAAATTGCACAAATATTATGATCAATAAAATTTTATTCAAATTAGACATATAGATTTTTAATATTGTTAACTAGTTAATCATTATGAAAAACGATTTTAGTAGTCAATTTCATCATTATAAACTGTACCTCTTCTACAATATTTAAAAGAAAAAAAAATATGGAGGGTCTGCTATTATTTCCACCTTCCGAAGGCAGAGAGCCAATTGCTCTATCTAGTGCCATATGTGTAATATCTTTGACCTTTTCACTCACCGAGAATTCCGCATCATGAAAAGACAATATAGCCATGAGATATTCCTTGCATGTGGCTCATTTCACACTTATGCCCACATATAAATTAAGACAAACGAGCACACAGTCCACCTAATGGTAAGAGGATGCTATGGCCAAAGACATCTTTATCTATTCTCGATGAAGAAACAAAATGCAGATGCGTTGTAACCCCTCAGGACCAAGATGGAATGCCTTATTTCCAGTAAAAAGATTTTCTGGTTCTCTACTCTAACTATACGAAACACAGCAGCATTGAACTGCTATTTCACGCTGGTATTCTGTTAGAGCGTGGTCCTTCCCCAGTCAAGCCGACCCATTTGTACTACAACCATAATAAGGCTGCATCATAGCTCTACCACATAATGAGTGACTTCCATTAATGCAGCTTGGTTACGGAATATATTCAGATTTTTTATAACATTGAAGTGACAAATGAACTTCAGTCCATTTGATGGTAGGTAGCTATTGCAGCGCATGAACTGGAATACATTAATGCACGCACTGCTAGTTAGTAGGAGAAATCGGTAAGAAGAAGAAGTAGAAATGAGAAGAAGAAGAGTACCACCAAGTAAAATTCAACAACGAAGTTTAACCATATCAAAAGATTGTTCATAATTGCTACGCTTCTAAATCGGATTTCTAATACAAATTGTACGAACGAAGTAAAAGTGATACAGTAATGCGGGTTATTCAATTTATTATTTCGCACTAAATACCACCGATACTGTACTTGAACGCATTTTTTCAAGGTTAAGTAGCCATATCGTTTTTGAAGTGGTACTGTTTAGCCGCTTTAGCTATATTAAAATTTTGACAACGCAACTCGGACCTCTGTACAATATGCCGACAGGTATGATTGTGGTCTATGGTGCTAAAAGCCTTTTCGGAAACCGACCTCTTCGGGCTGCTGAAAGTCGTCGAGTCTGCATCTGCATGCGAGACAATTCGTAATGACTCTCGAAACCAGCACGTAGACGCGGCTCAGAAAGGAAATCGGCCTGTAGTTCTTCAAGAGAGCGTTGTCGCCTTTCTTGAAAAACAAGACCACCGCAGTTCTGCTTCACATCTCCGTTGTAGTGCCACCATGGAGGACGGAATTAAAGAGCTCCTTAACGAATTTCAGTACCTTACTCTAAACCTTATTCAAACTTTCAGGTGTCCCGGAAACGACGCTGCCACACTCGATCTTCAGCTTCGACAGTTGGCTCTTTTTGGCAGACAGATCTCTAGCAAAGTCTTTGGAGCCCTGGTTCCGCCAACCACTGCTTCAATACGAACAGTATTAAAGTTGCGTAAGTCCCGCCGCATGCATTTGGAAACCTGACTGTTCAGTTGCCTGTACGAGTATGCTGTCAAATCTACTGAAGACTGTAGATTCATTTCGCGTCTAATAGCCATGAGATTAAGAGTGTGATCGGAGAATCTTTGTGTTCTTCTGCGGCGCTTCTTGCAAAACTTAGATCCGACTGGAGTAAGAGGTGACAAAGAAAAACTAATAGGAGATGCAACATCATCTTTCTAAAAACAGTTCAAAATACTAAAAGCTGCGGTTGCCGGCCCGCCTGCCAAGTGTAGGCAACTGTAGCAAATATCCAGCATAGTTGACATTTATGGGGGATGTCTATGTTCAGTTCAAAAGACTTTTGATAAGCTGTAATGATGACGATGATGCGTTCTACTCTTTCGAATCTTTGCTATCCTTAATATTCACGGTAGAGTGAAAACAAAAAGTAACATCTCCAAAAATATGAATGAAATAAAAACTGCATAACTGCCCCATCAAAACTAAACAACTAGTATCCTACATACATGTCACTACTGGGCACTGACCGCAGAGCGATTTTGGCCTAAAAATATTCGCTGCGTTGATCCCAACGTGGGATTACCTCAACTAGGGAACTTCTCACATGTGCAGGTTTTTCTTTACCACCGAGAACGTGGTAAATCGACACTTAATATATATAAAAATGGGGGGGTGAGTCGCTCGCGTCCGTAAGCGTGTCCTCCGGGTGGTACTAACCGAGCGACAAAGCCGAAGGAAGAGACTTGGCTCCTCGCCGTGTGGCAGCTGCGTAAAACATGCCACCCCTACTTTGCACCATGAGGCAGAAGAAAAAAAAGGGGCCCCGAATTCCTAGCGCCCGCTTAATGGGGCAGGGGTGATCCGTGGTGCAAGACTTTAACCCCTGTGCTATTTCTTCGCAAAGTATTTCTCGCAGTTCTGAACGACGGACATAATCACTTGTATTATCTACAATGATATTAGTATCAAGTTTTGAAGGCGCTTTGCGTCGGAACACGTTATTAAACGAAATGTCGGCAAGCGATGTAGGTGCTACTTACTACTTTACGATATAATATGATCAATTGTACGATCCCATGACATAATATGTAAAAATCTCTTTGATCAAATTATAAGGATAATGAAAATTTTGCAATAATAGCAGGCAGACCAGTTTTAATCAGTTTACATATAGATTAGGAATTGAACTAAAAACCATATCAATTTTCATACATTTGATAGACGTCACTATTATCTATTTAAGTTATTACCAAAGACATTTAAGTAGTAGTAGTATTTAAATCTCTTTGGTTATTACGCTTATAAAATGAAATAACGAAAAAACTAAAAAACGAACGTTAAGGATATTTGAATGGATTTAGAAATCGAACTATTTAAACATTTATATGTAAGTTAATTATAATATTTAATTTATTAGTAACTGAAGGCAAAATAACACCCATCATCCAGCCTATAACTAACAGAATCATAATTATATAAAAGAAAATTAATAATATAACCTTCTTCTTTTGAAGTTTTTTAATCGGATAAAAAGTAGCCTATAAGTTGCCACGGATTAATAACTACCTACCTACAAAATTTCTAAAAGTAATTTTTGCGTGAATCTTGAATACACAGAAAAACAGACCGAAATTCTAAAAACCATTAATTTGGCTTTAGTACCTTTTACCCCTGGACTTGTATTTTCAATAATTTATTAGAATTACAGACACGACTTTTCTACAAAGAGATAATGTATAGATTATACAGTTACGACCAATTTTAAGAATATTAATTGTTCTTATTCGATTTACGGCAAAGACGCCATCTTTCTATATTCGTAATTGACGTTTATAGTTTTATTTTAAAATATTTTACGGACAAAATCATTTTAAATTAAACTAATATTTACGGATTCTATCGCGTTTAATTTAACTTTTTAATTCCCCACGTTCCGGCTGCTTTACAGCACCCATGGTCGCGAGAGGGCTGACCATGGGTGCTGTAAAGCACCCGAAACGTCGAGAATTGAAAAGTTAAACGAAATAGAATCTGTAAATATTATTTTCATTTAATATGTAGTCTTCCCGTGTAGGTAAAAATACCCACCACCCCATATCTTCCGGTGGGTGTCGTAAGAGGCGACAGAGGGAAACTGAGGCAGAAGATGGGCAGCAGCATCTTTCTGATAACAGCAAAGCAATAATAAAAACTGCGGTTGGCAATCCGCTAGGCAAGCGTGGCAGCTATGGCAATATACCCCCATGATTAAAGTTACGAAGAAACGGCAGTCCCCGGCGGCTCCGCTATTCCTGGCTACGGTGGCGACCATGTAACGGTGGGGCAGGGGGTGCTAAGAATCTCCGGTGGAGGTTCGGTTGCCACCTAAGACAACTCGACCTGGCAACATATAACGCACGCACCCTGAGGACTGACGAGAAGATCCTGGAGCTGGAAGAAGAGATAGAAAAGTTGCGCTGGAATATTAGAGGATTATTTAATAACTCATAGAAGAACATAGGTCACTTATAATGAGCTTATAATCTATTTTACAAAAAATAAAGTATAATATTTAAACATGTCCAGCACATCGCACTTTTTCAGTAGTGAACGCGTTAGAAAATGTTATCGTAAATGTACTGCTTCAATTTTGATTTAAAAAGGCCAAGTGAGTCACACTCTCGTATATCATTAGGTAATTTGTTGTATATTTGTGCTCCTTCAAACATTATGTTCCTTTTACCGTGGCTAATTTTTAGTAGCAAACAAATATTATTTGTGTTTCTTAAATGATGTTTGTAAGTACGTTTTGTGAAAGATATTTCGGAGTGAATCTTGTTTGTTAAAATTTTTTGTATTAGAATGCAAGTTGTATATGTGTAAGTTTGCTTTAAATTAAATAATTGTAATTTTTCATATAGTTGTTTCGTATTCATTAGGCGATCATATTTAAAAAGGATTTTAATAATTTTATTTTGTGATATTTGTAAGCTTTTAAAGTTTGTTTGTGCAGCACATTCCCACACCCCAATAAGGTACTCTAAATGCGATTTCACGAGCGAATTATATATACAAGGTCATTCGAAACCTGCGCAGTATGCAACCAACTATTCTACGTAACGCACCATTCAAAGCAATTAAATTTGATCTAACTTTTTCGATGTGACATCTCCAAGTGAGTTTATCATCCAAATGCAGTCATAAGTATTGCTCTTGGTGCGCTAACGGTGGATCATTTCATTATCAATAGTTAGCAGTACGTGCTGAGGGATTGTTTTGTTTTTAGCCGCAAATATCATATAAGAGGTCTTTTCTGCATTAATATTTAGAAGATCACTATGACACCAGTTATTATAGATATTCAAATCGTTTTGTGCTTCCTTAATAATTTCATTAACGTCTTTACCAAAATAAAAGAGACAGGAATCGTACGC